CAGCATAGATTTACAACAGGGGTTTGAGGGAGGTAGTAGCTCAGAGGCAGATGAAGAGAAAAGCTTGGAAATCATGGGACAGCTGGGACAAGACCCAGCTGACACATTGTCTATAGAAAGCATTCCATAACCTCCATCTCCCAGAACCCAGCAAGCCTTAAAAGTAGGAGAGCAAAGAGCTCAAAGACAGAGGGCATGTATGATGAATGAGGAAGTGAGAAAGAAGGGGATGGGTGGAGATTCACTCTGGACAACGCTGTTATCCAAGAGGCTGGGTTCTATATCCTGACTGAAATAAAAAATGGCAAGAAACTTTCCCTTGTCTTTATACTTTCCTGGGAACCAGCCGGGGCCACTTGCAGCAGCCTGACTCCCAGAGAGGAGGAAGGAGTAATTGCAAAGTTTTCTTACTCTATACACTGACACCTAAATTCACAGCAGGGGTGGGGAGACTTTGGCTGCAGACCAAATGTGTCCCATCCCCCCCACTGGTACCTTTGTCTGGCCCTTGGGACTATCTGACCATTGTTTTGTTAAATTAGCCCCATTGGTCTGAATATAACGCCCCTTTGTGTGTCACCTTCCTCAAAGAAAGTTTGGCTTGCCTATGCTACCTTCCCCCAGATGTGATGCAGGACACAGGGATCCCTTCTTCAACTAGCCAAAAGGCTGGATAAAAGCTAATAAATGAATGTGAAAAGTGAATGAATGAATGAATGAATGAATGAATGAATGAATGAATTGAATAAATAAAAGAGCACCTTGAATCTCAATGGAATAGAATGGTGTGCCTAGTTCTCCCTCTCATTATATATATATATTTGGCCACAACTTTATTAAAATACATAAATGTGAGTGGTTGCTTAGGCATTGGTTACAACTTTCTGTCCCCGCCCAGGGACAGAACTGATTTCCGGATTCCAGCGAAAGCCAGTAAGGGAAAACAATATTGGGGAGAAAATGGAGTCGGGCACCAGACCCTCACCTCTCCCGCATGCTCCCAGGGGCCCCACGCCAGGGATTCGGACGAAAGCATGGCAAGCCCCTGGATTCCTTTAACAGA